TTTTTTTTAACTCTTGGGTGGCAAAAGCCTAGAGCGGGCCCTGGCAGCAGCAGCGCATCCTGCACCGGGGACACCCTGGGGCCGCTGCAGTTCGCGTCAGGGAGCAGTGCCCGCACCTTATGGCCGGGCAGGCTCCGAGCACAGGACACTCAGGCTGGGGGCCATCCCGCGGGGACACGGAGCCCCCTGCAGGTGCCGCAGGGCGGCCACCCCCCAGCACCGCAGCTGGGGCTGGGCGAAGCGACCAGAGCTGCCCAGGGACTGCGGCAGGGCAGCCAAGAGCAGCAGCAGCAGGAGTGGGGCTATAGAGGGCGGGGTGCTGCCGTGCGGAGCCCACGTCCTGCTCTCAGGGGCTCTGCTCCCTCTGGGGCTGCCCTGCCCCGGCTCTTCAGTCCCCTGCCAGGGTGGTCCCCCGGCTCTGTCCTCCCCAGTCCCAGCCGGTCCTGGAGGTGGGAGTCCCGGCTTTAGGGACCCTGGGCTGAGGCACGGCCCGGGAGCCCCGCTGCTTACCCCGACCCTGCCAGTGCTGGACTGGCTGGAGGCAAGGGGGGAGTGGGCAGAGTCAGCACTGGTGTGGGGATGCCCAGCGCTGGGGTGGCCGCAGGGGTTGGGTGGGGGGGGGGAAGAGCCCAGGTTGGGGGGGGGTGAGGAGGAGGCCAAAAATTTTCTTGCTTGGGGCAGCAACAAACCTAGAGCCGGCTAGGGTGGGACAGACACACTTTGGAGCATCACAGCGCTCTTCTCCGGGGCTGTAGACTGAACCACAGTTTGCCAATGCAGTGCCAGTACCCAAGCTCCGGGCGGAGCTAACCACTGGAACCTCACCCTGCGCGCGCCGGCTCTGCTGCGCAGAATCCTCCCGCCGCTAGGACGCGCGCCCTCGGCGCGAGGGGCGTGGCTTCGGCTGCACGATGAGGTAATCGGGACTCAAACCCTCCCTCAGAAAACTCCGCCCCTGTGCACGCTGCCCAATGGGCGGGTAGGGGAGGAGTCGGCCTCGCTCTGGTTCAGGCAGCTGCTATATAACAGTCTCTGGAGGACGGTCCCTCCCTTTTTCCTGCGGAGAGTCGGAGATGGTGGCGCAACTAGTGGGTGAGTCTGGGGAGTCCTGCAGCCGGGAAGGGAACAAGCTGGGCTGGTCTGGTCCGATCTGGTCCCTGTTCTCGGGAGACCGCGTTTTAGGTTTCTCCGGGAGCTCTCGCCGCGTTTCCGCCGGCGCTGGCGGAGCGGCCAGCCGCCGGCGGCACCTGCCGAGGCCGGGTTGTGTGACTCGCGGCGGCGGCCGGATGAGGGCTGCGGGGACTACAAGTCCCAAAATGCAGCGCTCCACTGAGCCGCCTCTTGCAGGTGGCGCGGTGCATGCTGGGGTCGGCGGGCTCAGTAGCTCATAGAGACGCTGCGTGACTGGGCGCGGCGAGGCTGATCCGCGTGAAATGTGGCTTGGGCGGTGGGTCCCGGCCTCTGTCCCGTACCTTGCGGAGCGGGTGTAGGGTGCTGCATTCGTGGCGGCGCCGCGTTTGGGCCGCGCCAAGAAATAGCGCAGTGTCACGTGCTGTGCCGCGCCGCAAAGGGAGCGCGAAAGAAACTTGTCCTGGACAACAGTCTGCTCCTGTGCAGCACCGGGTACTTCGTCCCTCTTCTTCCTGTTCGGGGCCTGAGCTGTTCTCCGCGAAATCCAGCGGTTAGTGTTCTAAGCAAAACAAGGGGCCCGTTTTTTTGCTAATCTCTGGTCCTGTGAAACTGATTTCTTATTGCTCAGCTGTATGATGTGTGGAGTTCACACTTGACCAGGCATCCGTAATATGGTACTAGTAGCTGTGTGTGCAATAAACTTGCTTTAATTATGTAAGTGTGTTGCTGTAGTCATATTAAGTTGAAAATGTATTAAGGTAGAAATTTAAAAGCATCTCAATCAATTTAAATGGGATCTTTCATGGGTCCTCCGTGGCTATAAAATGAATGCTATAAACTGATAGCTTTAATTCCTAATCCTTATGGTTGTTGCGGTATTTCATATTGAAATCCCCTTTTAGTGCAATTGTACAGTCACGACTCCCACCCAGTATAATTTAGTTGCTGATGCTTGAATTAGTATACCTATAACCAGAGCAGTACACAAACTGAAGTCAGCTGGGAATCTTAGTTTTTGGAATATTACTGATTAATCTTTAACTCTAGGGATTTGAAACTACAATCAAGATGAGTTACACAAATTGGAGTTTTTTCCGACGATGATATCGTCTCACTCGAATTGGCCTAGTACTCTTAGATGTGGAACTGGCTTGGAGGAGAGGGGTGGCAAAGGAACAGAAAGCCCAGAGCTTCAGCAGCTAAGGCTCTTTAGACTCCTGAAGGACAACGAGGGGTGCTACAGCAGCAGCCTTGGGAGAGGAAGGGCTGCAACAAGCAATTGGGAGGTGGTTGTATTGATTTGGGAGAGTTGGGTGGGCTGCTTTGATTGAATATTGAGGCAGCTGGGGTGTGAACACCAAAATGTGGAACCACTAGTGTATAAAACTTTTGAATTAAGATTATTCAGCTGTAACAGGACATCCTCCAACAATTAATCTGTGAGATTGCCTAATTTAAGATACATAGTTGAAACATCCTTAATTAAGTAGGTTGTGTACTTGTTATTGTTAATTACACATTTCTGTGGCCTGTCAATTGGGAGACAAGACTATATAGAAGACTAAACAGCCTCTCAGAATTTGCCAAGAGCAGGAACCAAGGTAGAAGCACAAACTTGTTTTAACAAACTTTTTACATAACAAAACACCTATTCAAATTAGGTGACTACTGCTTAAAGGGACATGTGAACTTTTAAATAACACACATTAGCCACTTTTGTTAAGGCCACTACTATTGTGTCTAACTCTTAAGATTGTCTTTGACAATGTTTCAACTGTCTGTATTTCAAGTAGGTAGTGCATATAACTAGTTCTGTTGCAATTTTGTTTATTCTAGGAACTATGGAGATAAACTTCATGGTGATATCCTGGAAGTTGTGCAGAATAATTGAGGTATGATTCTGAGAATATTTTGAATTTGGTTGGGCTGGAAAGGGCACTATATCTTTGGGTTTGGTCAAGATTGAACACTCCAAAGTCCTTCAGTTGCATAGTGCGCTCTCCACGTCTTTATCTATTTGAAAGTAATTCCCTTTTACATACGTGCCAGAGAGTCAATTACTGTGTCACAGTATTACTGGGTAGAGCGGAACGAAAAGATAGTTACAGTAAATTAGTGGACTCATTTCATATAATCTTCCATTTATCAGCTCTCTAGCATCTTACTGCTTCTGCTTACTTATTCTTAGTAGATTAAAGCACTTTGATGCTATTACCAACACTGTACGCTATATTTTGGACTCTGGAGCACCTGTTTATCCTGGCACTATGTTGTTCTATGTTTGGTTTTAGACATGTTATACACCTAAAATTTAGGTCAACCTAGCTACATTGCTCAGGGCTGGGAAAAATTTCACACCCTGTGCAATGTACTTAGGTTGACTGTAGATGGGTTGACAGGAATTCTTGCGTTGACCTTGTTACTGCCTTTCGAGGGGATGGACTTGTTACAGCAATGGGAAAAACTCCGTCTGTCACTGTAGTAAATGTCTACACTACAGAGATGTGGCTGCAGCTGTGCTGTGGTCGTGTTAGACATACCTTTAGGGTTAATATGTGAATTGGCCATATGGACTAAGCCAGGTAGTTGACTGTCATCTGCAGTAATTAGGGCCTCGATCCTGCAAGTATCTGAGCATGAATAGCTTTACATATGTGACTAGTCCTATTGAGTTATTTTGTGCATAAGTGTTTGCAGGATTGGGGCCTAAGTGTATGTCTGATATGACTTGGTTTTTCAGAAATCCCCTGTCATTGCATAGGTAGACAGTACTTCAGGTTAGCATAATACACCATGTTAATTTTGAGTGTCTATTGATTAGATGTAAACTTTTTCTCTGACACATGAGCTGAAGCTTTGTTTTGACTGACTTAGATTATAAATTCTTTGGGGCAGGGAACGTCTTACTCTTTTAAACAGTTTTTATGGTGCAGTATGACTTAGTGTTGTATCACAACAAAGACAGCGTAAGTATTCCCATATTATAAAACTTGAATTTGCTATTGATTTTTCTACATTGAAATCCTGACCTTCTTCTGTTTAATTTTAACTGCAGCCCTTCATGAAAACATCAACAGTTCTAGAAGACTATATGATATACAGTTGTGGATGTTCCTGAATATTTAAGACAGAAGTATGTTTGTGAATGGTCAAGTGGAGGAATAAATATTAAGATGGGGATAAATGGATTGGCAAAAATCTAGACTTTAATGCATTGTTTTCATTTAATTAATCCATATTTAACTGAATAGTTGAGGTAAAATTGTTGCTTTCAGTCTTGTGAGGTATCACGTGGTCCATCTTGATATTGTGAACAGTTGCGAGATTCATGGGGGTAGATGTGGTGGTGTAGTTTATTTTGATTGTAAACCATATCCATTTGTGGAGTTGCCCCACTAGGCTTTACAACCATGTTAATGTATTGTCAATTAACCTGAATTATCTAACTCAGGATAGAAGTTTAGTGTTCTCAACTCTTAAGGGGATGGGAACAAAACTGACCTACTCAAGGATTTTTGTTGGTGGTGAATTCAAATCTGTCAGAGAAAATGAACATGTATTGTGGTTTTAATAAAAATATGCTCACTTATATGCAAACTAGCTGTGGTTTTCAGGGTCTTGGCCAGTGACCCTGGAATAGTGCAAACTTTGGACCACTTTTTTACAGCTTTCATGCTGGTTAACAAGAGTATCTAGTATTTCCCTTTCCTGAAAATGCTTGAAGGGAACATAACTTGTTTTGTTAAGTCACTTTCAAAATGCTGTATTATGCAATATTTATTAGTAACAATTTAAATGGTTACTTTATCCTTATTTCTAGTGTGACTTATTAGCAAGTATCCAGTGGATAATGAATTAATGAATGAATAACTGACCGCAGTTGGGATATAAAACTACTTGCGACTCTAGTACTACTAAAACAGGTATTCTTAACTTAAAACAATTGAAAAATACACTTTTCTGACTATTTTAACACAACACAATATGCTAATCTTCAAAGCACAAATACTTTAAAATACTGTAAAGTGTGGGACATAGCTAAGATATGGAGTAAGCTCTGGCTTTGTCAATTTAACCTTTGAGTAGTCTTTCTTGTGGAACTGCCTATACATTCCTTCCTCTTATTCGATAAAAGTGATTTAGATATTTCTAGCTTATACACCTCTACCCCAATAGAACGCTGTCCTTGGGAGCCAAAAAAATCTTGCACGTTATAGGTGAAACCGCGTTATATCAAACTTGCTTTGATCTGCCAGAGCGCACACCCCGCCGCCCCCTTCCTGCGCGTGAGCACTGCTTTACTGCGTTCTATCCAAATTCGTGTTATATCGGGTCAGAGGTGTCTAAGCAGTTCCAATCTTTTTAAATCAAGACAAGACATGTAATAGGGATGGATCTGTTAAGTGCTTTCCTTTGTCAGGGCATGCATGCGTGCTATATATATATATATATATGTGTGTGTGTGAAAAGCGATTTCTTCTCTCTTCCCCCCGCCCCCCCCCCCCCGCAACAATATAAGTTGCAGAGCCTTGTATTGATAAAGGTATCTGGCCCAAATGGATAAAGGGCACTGTTCAACTTGTTGAGAAATAATTTCATTCTAGGATAGTATCTAAACCGAGTTATAGTTCACATGTTCATTTTGGTATAGTGTTCCAGTATACCAAAAAGTGTCTTATTTTTGAAGTGGTCTGTCAGTGATGAACCTATCCCGAACCTGACTTGCTGATGAGAAATTTTATACGGATCTGGCTTCTGAGATGAGACCACTGGCATTCAGAAGAGTTAACCTGGTTACACCTCTGTTCTGTGCACTACTTAGACATGTTTACTGCTACCACTAGAAAAGTATCTGTCAATTGATGCAGTTACTCAAATTGCATGCACAAAAATGACAGTTACGTAGTGTTCACACTTGGGGCTGTGCTGCACTGTGGTACACTGCTGTCTGGAAACCTATCCCAGAATTCCTGGCAAGGCTTGTTGGTGTGCTGCGTTCTGGACACTTTGGTCCGGATTCTTTTGGCAAATCTGGGAAATTATAGTAGGAGGGGTCAAATACCATAATTCCCAGAACACTCCCTTTAGTGAAGAATAGTAACTAGGCTGGGATTTTCAAAAGAACTAAAGAGTTAAACTCTCAAATACCATTGATAATTATCAGAATGTCTCTGCTTAGTCAGGAGGTTTGAAGATTAGTTAAAATACAGTATTGTGGATTTAATGAGTGGAGTATCTGCATACAGCATTGAACCAGATCAGGAGGAAAAGCCCTATGGCAGACAGCCTGCATATATAGAGGCCAAAAGCATGGGCAGATCCTTAGGGACAAGAATTGATTAGGCCCTGTAGCACAACTGCTGGACCCTTGCGTGGCCATTCATACTTTTTCCACTTTCAGGAGCCCATCCGAGATTTCTAAAGCTAACCTTCATAAATAAAATGCCAGTATCAAATTTCTGACTTGGTGTAATCCATACAACATCTGTAAAGTGTTTCCATGTAAAGTACTTACATAATCCTAACTTCCTGTGCAGTCAACTCCTGCATCTGGACAGGTAGCAGACTAGTGGGAAAGTGTGACCTCCTCATCACAGTTGCTCTAGAGAAATACTTCTTTAAAATAATAAATGAACATACTAACCCTTGGAGTATTCAATTTCACCAAACTACTGTGCAATTTGTCTTGTTGCAGAGATCTCCGAAGGCTGACTCAATATTAAAGGTATGTATTCTAATAAAGGTTGATATTGATGAAGCATGAGTAATTCTGGTCTGATCAATGATGATACTATCCCGAACCTGAGTCCTTGATGAAAAACTCATACGGATCTGGCTTCTGAGATTAGACAACCATGATTCATATTGCTTTTTCTAAATACTAGAGCTGTGTGAAAGTAGTATTTCAAACAAGTAGATTTTGTTTACTTGGTAGATTTCATGTACTGACTGAAAATTTGCCTATTGTATCCTCATTTACTGTTTTCCACAAGGCATAATTCTTGCCTTTGTTTTTTTCTAAAACTGCACTGTTATTCCCCACTTCAGTCTGATTTCTGAACTTGTGATGCATGGGCTGTTGCATGATCAGTGGCTCATTTTATGTACTTAAATGGTTTGGTTTGTATGCTTTCTTTCCTAATAGGATATACTGTGTGATTGTTCATGAAATATTTGATATTTCAATCTAGGATGAGGCCACTTCAGTTTCCATTTGTTGCAGTAATAGATTAAAATGCATTGAATACCTGACAGTGCAATAAAAGTGGCCTGGATGTAGGCCTTTAATTTAGGAATACCTGCGGTTTTTTAGGCCCATTTGGGATTTTTATTCATCATAGGCTGAGAATTAACTTATGCTTTGGGAGTTCCCTCCAGTTCTAATCTCTGGAGGATGGGAAAATAGGAATTTTAGTAGTCTAGTGTCATGATCACATTTGTTTGCTTGTTTACCCAGCCTTACAAAGGTGCCAAATTATATGTGAGCCAGAAAAGCAGATCTTTTAGGATAAGAAAGGGATGTGTAATCATGGTGTTATACATGCAACTCAACAGAATTTGCAGAATGCTTAGATATAGTATATATTTAATACTACGGCTTATTGAAGTCTTATATGAAAGGATGAATAGCTGTTAGACTTGCCCATTGAATGACGTTGGCACATTTTCTTGCCTAATCTAAGAATTAAAAATGAATGATTTACTAACTGAATCTTTTTTTGAACAGTGAAATGGTGGAAACTGTAGGAGCAGATGCATTTAGTTATTCAGGTATGTACTCGAAGAAAATGCACCCTTTGTTGAAAAGTGCCTTGTATTGGTAATTTTGGGTTTCTCATTTCACAGATATCTATAGGCTTAAATTGGTCAGGAGCTGATCTCAATTTGTCCTGAACTGAAAGGACATCCCTCCTCTTTCCAAGGCCCTTAATATGTCAGTAATCTTAATTAGCCTTGGAATTAATCAACACTGCCCTCCTCTAATCTGTAGAGGTGTTTGTGAAATGTCAGTGTGCCTTCCTTCTATGGGCTGAGCATATTGTTTGCACTGTTTTGTTTTTTAACTTAAATTTATGAACCAGAGAACTTATACACGTATAAGTATTGTACTTTAAATGTGGATTGAATTGTAATTTATTGGGGTCTTTATGATCCTATTCTGAACCTGATTTTGTTGCTGAAAATCTCTATGGATCTAGCTTCTGAAATAAGATCTTATTTTAAATTTCTCTATTGGCTAAATCTACCAACTATTTCCACCATAAAGGCACACTTTCAGGTGGAAAGCTTCATTTGCTTAAGAATAAAATGTAAAATGTCTTGTAACACTTTTTTTTTCCTTTGTGGATTCAGTTTCTCATGTAAAATAAGCCATTTTATTTAGTTTGTTTTCCCTTTTTAGTGATGAGGTGGAATTTTTGTATCACTGGAAGAAGTCTGACACCTGAAGATACCAAGATTTTAACAACAAAAAATGTTACCAGGTTTATGCTTCTGAAATAGTTTGTGGGATAGTTTGGTAGTTAATAATATTTCTGAAACTTCACATGGCACAGAACCAGTTGGTCTCTACTTCTCTTAAAACAGTGAGCAATCATGTTTTGTGGAAATCTAAAGATCTTTCCAAAATTTTAGACCCAGCTCCCTCTAGTGAAACCAAAGCTCTTATAATAGGGAAACTGCATGTGGGATCAAAGAAGAGAAAATTCAGTTTTGCTAGAATCAGTCAGATTTAACATCTTCTGTTTTCTGACATGACTTATCAGGAGATTATGGTGGCTGAAGGGAAATAGAGCATACTTTAAAAGTGTAGCATAAAATCTATTTTTTCCCACTGTTTATCAGGAGAGGCTCCCCTACTCAGTAAAGAAAATATTAAGGGCAACAAACAATAAGCTTGGGGGATGTGGGTTGGAGAAAAACTCCCAGTGGCTAGTCAGTTTCCTCTGAAGGAGATAAAAGCACAACAAAGAAATAAAGCACACTTTGATATTACTGGGGAAATGTGTATGCCCTGAACAGTAATAAAATGGGCAAGGGAAAACCCAGGCACCCTGTGTAGAAAGATGGCGAGAGTACCAATTAATGCAGAAAATCATAGTAATGAGGCTTGCCCCTTTTGAGTGCCATTTCATTCAGGAAGTGAAAGAGGAATGTCAGGTTGTGGTATTAATCAATGAAGGCATTGAGGAAGCAAAAAATATCAGACATTTGTAAGAAAGCAAAATTCACCAGTCATCGTAGGAGTTGTGGTCACAAGAGAAAACTAGACTTAAACCACAGCCTGGGTTCTGTTTATGCTGATGGGGAAAGAAGTTGGTTTTTATGCACCGCTGCCCAACCGCATGATAAGACCAATGCATTGGTGTGGAACTTTTTTTCTCTCTCTTGAGCAGAAAGCATTGCTACCATCTATGTTTTGTGTGGAAGAGAGGCACACCTGGCAACTTCTGCTTTAAGAAACCTCTTGAAAAATAACCATGCCATAATGTGGGAGAAACATATCTGCTGCATTCAGCAACTAAGCCTTAATGCAGTAGGGAAAGAGATGGAGGAGATCCACAAATACTCCAGTCAGTGGCATAACATCCAGTATGCCTTTTAGTGTTAGGAAGGGAAGCACAATGAAAAAAGATACATAGGCAAACTACCCAGCGACTGACACAACCTACACTTAAAGACACATCAAACTATAAGGAAAAACCATCCTACAATCCCCATGCTTAATACAAAACTGGCAATAATGCTAGTAGTGGATCTGCAGCCCTTTTCATTTGGCAAGGTAGAGGGCTTTCAGGCATTAATGGAATACACCATTCCCAAGTTGCAAATACCTAGCAAAACCTACTTTTTTGGCTAAGGCAATACCATAGTTGTACGAAACTCATATTGCAGTGTCCAAGGCATTGAGGATGTCAGTGGTCAGATGGATCTTCCTCACCTTTGAAATGTGGACTAGTGGTCAGACCATGGACTGTGTATCAGCTCATTGGGTAGCTCTTCCTCGTCAGTTACCTATGGTAGCAGGTAGCCAGACACTTTGCTACAGACTACAGCCCAACATGCAACACTGAAGTTTTGAAAAACCCTACACTCCATTGTGTATTGGAGAAATTGCAGAATGGCTTTCCCCTTGCTTGCTTTTAGCAGGATTTATTACCACATTAGTCCCATTATCAGATGTATGTGCAATTAAGGAAGGGGGATACTTCCATGTGCCATGCTTTGCACACATTCTTGATGCAGTAATTCATTCTTTTCTGAACAAAGATGAGAATGTGAAGTGCTGGCCATTGCATGTCAAGTCTGCAGTTACTTCAGCTATTCCTTTACAGATGCTTACACTTTACAAGAACTGCAAAGGCAAAATAGCCTTCCATTGCACCAACTCAAACACTATGGGCCAGACAAATGGGATTCACCTCTCTGTGCTTGAGCAATTACTGGGGCAATAAAAAACTATTAGTGTAGTTTTAAGAAAAACCTATGTAGTATGTGGAGACCTTTTGATGAAGCATTCAAAGGGTGAGCTAAAACGATGCTAGTTTTAGCCAAGTCATTCTGCTCATGTGCCTCCTAGAGGCGGGGGAAAATGTACCGCATGTGCCTCCTAGACGGGGGGAAAAATATGCTGCCTGCAAGAACAGTTTAGAAAAGTGGATGATATTGCAGCAGTCTATTTGGTAAATAGTATATTAGCCATTCTGAAAGAAGACTTATATAATTTATATTAGGGGGTCTGAGGAGTACATTTTTGCTACCTTTTTTTTTAGATCCCTGATTTAAAGATGCATTATCTTTCTGCCATGGGGTGAGTCTAATATAGAATACCACCAAACTGTTCTCAGATACGGTTGCTAAATGTATTTCTACTAGAATGGTAAGAAAATAAGCTCTTCTAGCATCAGGGATCAAATAGAAGAAAGTTGGAGCAAAATTAAAAGATTTCAACCTTCAAAAGGTGAGATCTTTTTGGGAACCCCCAGTACCTCACATGCATCATATTCCAAAATGTCACTCTGGGATTTGCTCCTTGATCTAGGTTTAATGAAAGTAGCAGAAAATGGTATCATGCCAGAAGATCCTGCTATCTCCAGTTGATTTGTAAATGAAGCATTAAAACATTACATGCATCATGCAAAACTTTGTTGACATCCTGTACCAATTGTCATTGGATTTGAATGTTGTCTGTTGCAAGCCAGTAAATGAGAAGTTAAAGCTACATTACTCAGTTTTATTGTACTTTGGCCTTTGATACATCTGAGAATAAACCATGTGCCTTTTCTCAGGTAGTATTTTTTTTTTTTACCTTTCATCTAAATTGCATCATGGAGTGGAGGGAGAAAAGTTTTGCACTCTTCCTTCCCTCCCCCATGGGAGGGGGAAAAAAATTTGGAATGGTGCTGCATAAATTCCTTGGTACCTCTTAGGTTGCTCACCTTTCTAGGATGAGGCAGGAGCCTGCACCCCCTTCCTGAAGGGGCTTTCTACTCTTGTCTATAAGTAGGCTAGGAAGGATTTGACTGTATGGTAAATGTTGGCAAACATTGATTTCACTGTACACTATTTTTACACATAATAAAAATTCACAGCTAAGCAGTGTTTTTCTTACATTGCCTGAGAACCAAGTTTGATTTAAGAATATTAGTATCTCTTAATTTGTGATAATGGGTGTGGTTATAAACCTCTAATGTTTTCCATCTCAGTATCTGCTGTCATTAAAAATAGTTAGACCCTGTGTGCAATCCTTTGTGCAACTGAACTTAAACTGGTTAAAAATGAGAACGGGAGCCATCAAATTCTGTATGCTAAGCAGCTCCTTCCCTAAACTAGGCTGTGGAAGATAAGGAATGTGCTCTATGGTCAAAAATCCCTCTCCTCGTGTCAAACAGTTTAGGTGCCCCTAAGCTGTTTCTTGTGAGTATTGGGTAACTGCAAAGATGGAGGAAGTGGAGATGGTGCCTCACATGTTTTGAGCTGGGTGTTAGCATATTTTTCTATGGTAGGGACAGGGGCAGACCCACATTCAATTCTGTCTTTTGCCTGAGGGGAAGAGGATTCTCTGCACTTTGGGAGAATTTCTTAACCACTGAACTGGGGTTACTCTGACAGAGGTCTCCCTCAGTGTGTCCTATTAAAGCTGTTCTGCTGTGTATAGCTTGTCATTGGATAATGGAGAGTGGGCCTTTCCTTGGGGGTGCCCTGACCATCAGGCTGAAAAGGCATTAGGCCAAATTCAAACAGTTTCAGGTAAGGTAGGTGGAGAGTGCCTTTTCCCCCCTTTGTAGAGCAGTGGGGCTTAAGTAGGAGCCAGGTGTTCAGACACCTAGTGATGGTGCAGTGCACATGCTCAGTGCCAGAAACTTAGGTGCCTAAGAAACTTTTACAGCACAAATTCAGGTGTCAAGTGATGTTAGGCACTAGCTGAGCAGGGGTTTCGTGGATTCCAGTGGTGCTTAAATTTAAGGTTTAGGCACCTTGCTCTCTTTAGGCATCTGGTCCTTAATGCCCAGCACAAAGCTTGAGGATGGGGCTTTGTGGGCAACACATTTTTCCCAATACAGACATTATCCATTAAAGTGATACATCCCCAAAGTTGAGATGGAAACTTAGACATGGATTTGGTACAGTCTAGACAGAAATAACACTAAGGTGGAAGAAGTATATGGAAATAAGACATTGCATCACATGCCAAGGTCCTTCATTTTCTGAAGTGGTCTGTTCCATTCTTTAAGCCAGAGGTTTCTGAACCTTGGGGCCAAGACCAAAATCATTTTCACCCCCTTTCCACCTCAGAAAAAAGTCACTAGGCAACTGCTGGGACCTAACACCAGGAAAGTCAAATCATGCAGGGGTGAGAACTGAATTTCATTTGCAGTTATGGGCCATGGGCTGGAATATAAATTTGTTATATACTCCCTTTTCCTGCTACAGTAAAAGCCATTGGCAGCACAGAGGCTCTCTCAGCTCTCTGCTGCCAGAACTTCTCACTGAGACAGGTAGCTACATTCTGCAGTGTAGCCATAGCCTAAGAGCCATTATTTCAGGCTGCCTGCAGACTTAGGCAGACAACATTGTGTTGACTTATAGTCATTTCATATTTGGGAAGGTTTCTTTGCAACCAGGAGAGGTACAACCAATTTAAAAATCCCAAAACTTAGTTTCTACAGAATTTGAATGTCATGTGGGCCACAAGTATATAAAGTGTGCTAGATCCACTCTCTGCTGAGTGTTTGTCATCCCTCACCTACAGGAAGTTAAAGGAAAAAGCTCATCTTTTCCTGGAGTTCTTCCCTGCTTCTGACATTACTTCTCTCTCCTAACACTCCTGAACACCAAGTGAAATATGGAGACAATAAGCCTACACTGTAGAACTCCGGTAGCTCTGCAATTTATTTACTTGTGAGTGGCAGGGGATTTGGGGAGGACTAATATGCTGCAGCAGAAGGAAGGAGTCTTCTCCCTTCTGATAATCCTCTGCAGCACTTCCACAGGTTGTCTTTCGCCTTGCCTTCCCACTCCCATCTTGAATACATCACCCACCCATAGAGCTGTTTCTGACTGTAACCTCAGTCTTGTAACCTTGCAGGATTGTAGTCACAGCAGCAATCACAGTGCTAGTTTTGTGATTCTAGGTGGAGGATAGTTGAGGTTAACAGGACTGGAATATGATAACTTCAGCTTCTAACTGAATAAAGAGTGAAAGGTTGCGGAATTCAAAATAAATCTTTTGTCTATCTTGTAAGGTTCCTAAAGAGGGAGAAAGCAGCTAAAATATATGTAATATGTTAAATGAATGTAATTAGTGCCATATTAACATGAGACAATTCTCACCAGTTTTAGCTGCTTCCTGCTTTCTGTGCTAGAATGAGTGACATCACAAGTATTAAACAAAATTTCAAAGGAAATATTTCATCCTCAACCCCTTTTTTTATTTGCTTTATTATTTGTAAGATCACTCAAGGAGAGAAATTAAGAACTCCAGCTCTTCTTGCATTCTAGAGGAACGGGATGTAATTTTGTTAAAATACAGGACAATATATGTTTGTAAATAACTATTTTACTCTAATCAAACATGCACATTTAACTTTAACTATTAGCAAAAACTTGTATTTTTAAAAATGCAACTACATTTAAACAATTGTTATTGCCAGTATGGTTTGTCTGCTGTACCCTAAACTAGGTACATTTATTTTATCCTGTGTGGTTTGAATCTGACTCTTCTACTTAGGGAAATACTGTTAGGCAACTTTCAGGAATGGTATCTTCAATTCCAAACAGAATGAAGAGATTAACTGTTAAGTTGTTGGTCTGACACTGAGGGGACATTGGTTAGAAAGAACTAATGTCTCCCATTGCACACATTCTTCCCATAAGCTAAGGGCAGACTAGACACTAAACATTTAGTGGGCAAGAGCAAGTTAGCCCAGGAGAATATAAAATTTTAAATGGTAATAATATAGTAGATACTCACCATGATGAAAAATTTAATTGCAAGAATCCTATTACAGGGAGCCATGCCTGGATTCTTAAGAGGTAAGTGGAGGTGCTTCTGACAAAAAGATTCTGCTGTAAGTTCTGACAGTAGTGAAAATACTGAAAAAGATACAAAAGAGGCAAAAAATGGTGTTCAGGTATCCTGTCCAAGCAAGTTTTGAAGTTTTTGAAAATTTCTGCATTTAAGAAAATAGTATTGATCTGGAATTCTGTATTGACCTAATGACCTGATCCAACTCCTAATAGAAATCATTTGGGCCCTGAGCCTCTATTTCTGGTTTATGTTTTATAAAGTACATGCTTATTTAATAGCTGATAAGGAGGGCATTCATTATGGTATATACTAGCATTGTGTTTCCCCCGTTCTCCATCTAGACATAAAAAAGTAAGTGCTCAGAAACCACAGCTCAGAATGGGAATCCTAAGGTCACTTCTTTACTCTGCTTTCCCACATGAAAGTGGGAGCAAAAAAGTACATAATCAGTTATATATAACTACAAATATACAGCTTTGCAAATATAAGGGCCCAATTCTACCACCCTTATGCACATTGAGTAGTGCTGTACATCATGAATGGTCCCATGGATTGCAGTGGCACTAATTCCAGAGGAAGGTTCTTCTCAACATGAGATGATACATAGAGTAAGATGTTCACTGCCCAAAAGCGTTTACAGTCCTTCTGGGTCAAGGGAAGATCTCCTGTGATTGAATTTTAACTTTAATATACTTCATAAAGTAAGCCTAGCTAAACTAGGACAGTCATATCAAATTACTGAATGTTTTATGATTAATATTTGCATGCATTAATATAGAGAGCAATAAAATACCACCAATAAAGAGCAACTGATATTTCTTCGAGTGGCTCTGTGTATTTCCATTTCTGGGTAATGCACCGCCTGGTGCAGTCATCTCAAAGAACTTGGGTTACAAATAAGTAACTCATTTTCTTTTAAGTTTTGTATCTGTAATAGTCGCAGAACCCTAATGTTTAAATAAAATAAATTCATTTAAAAATACAACTTTATCACTTCACATACATATTTATGCTAATTGTAATGTGTTGTAGAATAATCAGCATCTATAATACACTTGATAAACTCCATCCACATTGAGAATTGGCCACTGTTGGAGAACAGGATACTGGGCTAAATGGGCCTTTGGTCTGATATGGTATGGCTGTTCTTATATTGGGATAACTTGCCTCTATAGCAAATTAAGCTAAAATAATTAATGTACAGCAAATATCAGAATAGAATTGTCACAATTTCCATCAGAAACACAGATACCATATGAAACAAAATTATATTGAAAATATTAAAATAGATAGCATCAACATTGGGGGGAGAAACTGAAATGTAGATCTTTGACATTTGATGGAGGTTTCCTATCCATGTATTACCACAGCCAGGTCTCCCAGCCCTCCATATCCTACAATATCAGTTTCTTGAAGTGATTTTATATGTGCATTCTACTCAGTGTCCCTAGGGGTACCCATTGGGCAGCTCAAGCTTCCCCTGCTGCCATGTGCCAGTGCATGCAGGCACAAAAAGAGTAGCTGTCCTTAGGCCTCCTCAGTTCCTTCTTGCCCTAACTGATGAAGAGGGGTAGGAGGGTGGCTCATAGAATGGACATGTACAACACATTTTGAAGAACAACAGATACGGAGCAGGTTAGTAACCTGTTTTTCTTTGAGTGATTGCACCTGTTTTTTGGACTTTTCCCCCCGTTTTGGGATTTTTCTGTTCACAGTATCGAGGTATGCCCCACTCACTGGGTTTCAAGCCATGTGCTTCTTGTTCCAGCCCTGTGCCAGTGAATGACCCACACAATAGCTGCCTAAAGTGCTTGGAGGAAGGACCAATGCCTTTGCAGGTATAGGGAGGCTAGGCTGAAATTCCTGCTGATGGAGGTGGCATTTAGGCCACCGTTGGAGCCATCCCACTCTGACTCGGTACCAAGGTGCTACAGTTTCAGTGAGTAGTGCACCTACAGCTTTAGCAGAATCCTGGCACTTTCTTCCTTGCCCATTCCAAGAAAAAAAATACAAAGCTTCCAGGGAGGTACTAGCCAGGGAGAAGTGTCCCCCTTCTAAATCTGAT